TCAAACAGTGAATTCAGAATATAGCCTCTGCAACGAACTTCATCCTCCATGCATTTCTTGCGGGTTGCTATAGTTTCTTCATCTTCTTTGTCAGATGGTTCAGGAATAGTTGGCAGATTTCCACTTAGCAGATACGTAACACCCAATTCAATAAGCAAGAAAAATAATTTATCCTTCCAGCGTGTGAAGTTCGTTCCATCAAAACGATCCAACTTGAACACTTCGGGATTGAACTTGAAAACAGAATTTGAACCAATAACCGAACCAATAGCCTCCATTGTTATGTAATTTCCTTAAGATTGTTAGCAAAATAGGATTTCACCAAATTAGAAGGTTTTGATCGTATATTCACTGTCCTTAAGGAAATTTTGCCCCCACTATGTTGCTGCTGGATTTATGACAAATTCTTCTAGGATTAACAAAGCCAAACAGAATTTCAGATAGCAAACTCTAAAATTCTCTCAAGAACAGAATAGAAAAACGTTTTGTTTTTTGTGTATATGTCAATTGAAAGATCTGTACAAGTATTTATAATACCTTAGTGATAATACACAACTCTAGGGCTAAAGAGATGTAAAGAGGAGACACAACTCTTGGGCCAAAAGACATTTAATAATTAATTAATACAAAAATAATTAATTATTTAAAGGTTTCAAGCCCAAGTGCCCATCTTTTGACTTTAAAGATTATTTTATTTAAAGTCTAATCAAGACTCATTGATTTGAAATATTTGAAACTTCCCTCCAAATCTTCCCACCATCCAAATTTATAAAATTTGATGTGTTTCTCCTTTTAAACTCTTACATTCCCTTTCAACTTTTCTAATGTGGGATTCTTTACATTACTAACTATCTCTAACATAGCTGCTGACACCTATCACTTTGTCAAATATTTTTTGAAAAACTCAGCTTGTGTGTCCCACAAACTGTTTTTGTGTTACCTTCTTATTGGGTATACACACCACATGATAGTGTCACTTGGTGTGTTAAATCCATACAAAATTTTCTTCAATAGTAGGACGTGTAAATGTACTGAATTGAGCTGAGCATATCAGACTATTCAAGATATTATTTAGGCTCGACTAATTCATTTGTGAAGTAATAGTGTTTGGGATACGACCTTCAAGTAACTTGTTCAAGTCTGGCACATCAAGTTTTTGTTCAAAGTCTGGCTTAGCTTGGGTCAATTAGAGAGCTCCAACTTAAACTCGAGTTAAAGCTCACATTCAAATCAAGTTTGACTCATTTGTGCATATTTGATATATATATGCAATTATATTATAATACTTTTTCAATAATATGTATGTTTATAATCCTAGCAAGGTGAGAAGACATTGTCCCGAACTTGTCTTGTACGAGTAATATCATATTTTCAGACATGGACAATTGTTAGTACATATATATTATAAAAAAATTGACTATACCCTCTAGTTAGGACAACAAGGAAAATTGTTGACGTTGACGTTGACTAATCCAACTTACTAGGAGGAGGTTTACAAAATTGTACACAACCAATATTGATACCCAATTACAATGAAAAGTAGACTCAGAGGACTCAACAAAGCCAGCTGAAGAGACTTGCCACAATTTGAGCATAGTTATCTACTACTTCCTCAAGTGTCAAAGTTGTGTTTTAATGGCTACCAAAGGAAGAAGAATGAGAGTACTTCTTCTTTATTTGTCAAGCTTTTTTTTGTTCTTCAATTTCAGCCCTGCATACTCGGAGACAGACACAATCTACTTAGGTCAACCGCTCAGAAATTGGGAACAGTTAATTTCAAAAAATCAGGTCTTCAAGTTGCAATTCTTCAGCTCTGGGATGATTTCAAGGAGCTATTATGTAGGCATATTTTACAACAAGGAGCAAAGAACCGAGAAGGCCGTGTGGATGGCAAACCGAGACAACCCTATCCCCGATGCATCTGGGAACCTGATCATCGACTTTGATGGCCGTTTGAAAATTTCATATAGTGGGGGCCGCAGTGCTATTGTATTTAATTCTCTTCCGGCAAACAGCAATGCAAGTGCTACACTGCTAGATTCAGGCAATTTTGTATTCAGAGAACTCGATTCAAATGGGTCTGTAACGCAAGTTTTGTGGGAAAGTTTTGATTATCCTACCGACACGCTTCTACCAGGAATGAAACTTGGTATCAACCTCAAAACTGGGCATACATTGTCGCTAACTTCTTGGAGAAGTGATGAGGTACCTGCCTCAGGGTCTTTTACCTTTGGTGTAGATTCCAATGGTACGGGACAACTTGTAATCTGGCGGCTAGGGAATGTCTACTGGACTAGTGGGCTATGGAGCAACGGGAGCTTTGACAATGTCCGCCAATTGTCCTACGAAGACTACTACAACTTCAGCTATGTCTCCAATGAGAATGAGAAATACCTCAGCTACTCGGTGAATGAAATCAGTACTTCACCAATGTTCTACATAGGACCAGATGGTCAAATGAGAGGCGACGAAGGGATAGCATCTATTGGTGGGTGTCATTTGCGTAACCATCTTGGGTGCAAAATGACCGGAAACTCGCCAGAGTGCAGGAAACCAAACTACTTTTTAGTAGCAAAAGCAAAAAGCATAGTTGGTGATGGATTCAAGTACGATAAAAGCTACAACTTGAGTGATTCTGATTGCAAGGAAATATGCTGGAACAATTGCTCTTGTGTTGCCTATGCTACTAACAACGGAACCGGATGTGAGATTTGGGTTCAAGGAATGAGTTTCGAAGAACATTTTGGCACTTACGACGACAGACAGTTTTATTTTCTTTATTCAAAAAGAGGTTAGTTTTATTTTCTTTTTTCAAAAAGAGGTTAGTTTACATTTTTAGAGACGTTTAAACGTAGGTGGATTTTGTGTGTGTATGATCGTTTAATTCGTTGTTTGGTAAGGTTTTTTTTCGGTTAAAATTCAATTTACCCCTTTGTGGTTTGGATATTTTGCACGTGGCCCCCCTATGATTTAGAAATCAGTACATTACCCCCCTTATGTTTTTGGACTAAAATGCTACAATTAGTTTTTCCGTTAGATTAAACCATATGTGACACACGCACCTAAAAGGAGATTTGACATAACAAAACTTTTTTCCTCCAAAAATAGACACAATAAATGTACAATAATACCCTTCTTCAATCTTCATCTACTTGAACAGTTGACTATCATATTTTTTTCTCAAACAATTCACTCCAAGTACTGTCTCTTTATCAAAATTTTTAACAACAAAATTTTAAAAATTAAAATTAAGTGGATGATTCTTAACTATGCACGGCTCAAGTGAAATTCATTTTACCACTCAAACTATAGGAATAACTAATGGCTAGAGGTTCAATAATCATGGTGGGATCGTCTTTATGTGCAGGAAGGGATGTGGCTCTGATGCCGTCGTTGGTCGCACCGAGGAGAGCCTGGGAAGAGGGGGTTTGAGCAAAGAGGAGAGGACAAGGGAGGAAGGGAGGGGAGGGAATGGAGATATTCCTAGGAGGGTTGTTTGACTATGGGTTGCCAACAGTGGCAGAAGGGTGGTGAGAGAAAGGGGCAATGAAGTTGTTACTTAGAGAAAGAAAGAGGGGAGAGGGGGTTGCTAATGGAGAGAGATGATGAAGAAGAGAAAAAGGGGGCAATGACATTGTTGAGTCAGAGACAGAGAGTGAGAGAGAGGCAACAAGGTATATAGTGAGAGAAAATCAAAACTCTTGTTTATACTTGAAACTTGAATTTTTTGATATTCAAAATTTTGAGTTTTGAAGGTGAATGGGGCCTAATCCACCATTTTTAGGGTCAATGAATTCATTTTTTAAGTTAGAATTGAGAAAGAATGAGGTTTGGTGGGTGAGAAATTGAACTAAAAATAGTGACAATTTTTAAAAATAATGAACCTGTCACTTTGGAGCTCGATTTCCACTTACCTTGTGCATGATTTGGACAAATTAAATACATGGTTGGAAAGAGGGTAGAAAGAAGTTAAATTTAGGCATTTGAATCACCCAAAAAGATTGAGAAAAGAGGGAGAAATTAAGGGCCAAAGTTGGCCCAAATGTTGAAAAAAATCTAGTATGTACATAACTTGTTAAATTGAGTTTGTGATCACCTTTGAGCTTAAATTTGTGGGTCATGGGGGCTATTTAAGGAAACAAGTCCGTGGGATTTAAAACTAGGTTGAAAGTGGAGGATATTGACATTGGTTTGAGGAAGTTTGATATTTTGTAGAGAGAGAAAAAAGCTTGTAAAGTTGGGTGGTTGATTGATTTTTTAGAAAATTAAGCTATAGTTGAGAGGGAGGAAGAAAATGATGAATAATTGAGGGTACTAAAGTCATTTTACCACTTAATGTGCTGATTTCCAAATCATAGGGAAGTGGTGTGCAAAATACCCAAATCACAAGGAGGTAAACTAGATTTTGCCATTTTTTTTTTCAAAGTAGATTTAAAAAATATTAAAAAGAAAGCATATTGGACACAATGTTTTTGTTTTATTTTTTATTTTTTCATTTTTTAGCAAAAAATAAATAAAAATACTAAATATTTTTATTTTTTTTTAACTGCTTTATTTTGAAAACAATGTTAAAATATGAAAATATCTAAAATGATGTTTCTAAAAACGTCAAAAAACTCAAACAAGCAGCAACTCCTATTCCCCGGTATGGATTTCGAATCTTCTCCACATTGAAATATTTTTTTTTTCTTATCATATAAATGCCAAGAAAAATGCATTTTACTCATTTCTTCGAACATGCTCCAACTCCACAGACGGCTCCATCTCTGGCGAAGACCTTCATCTCCGGCGAAGCAGTAAGCTCCATTTTCTCTGCAAAATTTTTCATTTACTTTTAGATCTATGATGATGTTGTTCAGATCTCGGTGGTGGATTTCGGTAATGGGGGTAGGTTTCGGTGGGGGGGAGGGGTTTTTGGTGGTGGGGTTGGGGGTGGGTGGTGAGATTTGGGGCTGACTGGTGGTTTTGGGTGGTCGGTGGGGTTGGCTGGTGGGGTTTGTGGTGGTGGGGTTGGGTGGTTGTTTTGGGCGGTCACTGGGGTTGGGTGGTGGGTTTCGGTGGTGGGGTTGGGTTGTGGGATTTGGGGTTATCAGTGGGTTGGGTGGTAGGGTTTGGACGGTGAATTTTGAGCAATGCTACGTGAACTTAAAAAATAAATTTAAAAAATAGATTTAATAATCTCAACCATTCATTTCACTGTGGGTCCCAGTATTTTTTTGAATCCACTACCTATTCAATAATTGAGATTATCAAGTCTAATTTTTAAGTTTAGTTTCTAAGTCTATCTAGCATTACTCGTGAATTTTTGGTATAATATCAAACAAGTTTTTTTATTTTTGTTTTCATAATTTTTTAAATATAAATGACTAAGAATCTGTTATATTTTTAATTTTTATCACAGAAAAAATAAAAATTAGTTCTATTTTTTTATAAAATAACAAAAAAACGTTATCAAACGCACCCTTAATAATTGCAAAATTTGTTTACATGCATTTTCGTATATGAATAACAAATATATATAAACCTGAATACCTTTAATATTATACATGTGATTAAGCTTGGAGGAAAAGTTGTAAACATGTTTAGGATAATCAGTTTCAATGCTCTAACTTATCCTCTGTTCATGAATTACCCACACACTATACAGTAAACAGTTCATAAAAGAGATGATTAGAGGGTCACCTATGTTGAATTATCTTCTCAAGCTATATGTTGAATTTGAGAAGCAACTTCCACCTGTAGCTGAAATAGATGATAGATGGCTAGATGCATAATGAAGAGAGTTAATGTAGGAATAATTATGATATTTCAACAAGAGTCTTTCAATGCAGGAAAGAAGTGGTGGATATGGCTGCTCACTGCAATGGGCGCTTTCGCTATAATACTCATACCATGCTATCTAGTACAAAGAAAGCTCAAACTAATAGGTGAGCTCCACAAATTATCATTAAATTCAGATGACAATTGTTTCTGAAATTTTAATTTCCATGTTTATCTATTAGGAAAGAGAAAAAGAAGCCAGAAGATGATACTGTCTGAGCTAAGAGGGAATCCAACGCCGGACACCAAATACAGCAAAGCCAATAATTACAAAACAGACGAGAGGATGAGCCACGAATTACACTTTTTCAGCTTTGAAAGCATTGCAGCTGCCACTGATAGTTTCTCAATCACAAATAAGCTAGGAGAGGGTGGCTTTGGACCAGTGTATAAGGTAAACTTTGTGCACTCCTCAGCTTAAAATGATTTGAGAAATCACTCATTGGCAATATTTCAGGGAAGATTACCTGATGGACAAGAGATAGCAATAAAAAGACTTTCAAGAAGTTCAGGTCAAGGACTGGTGGAGTTCAAAAATGAAATTCTTCTAATTTCCAAACTCCAACACACTAATCTTGTTAGGCTATTAGGATGCTGCATTCAAGAGGATGAGAAAATTTTAGTATATGAATTCATGCCCAACAAGAGCTTGGATTTCTTCCTCTTTGGTATGCAATCCTAAACACTTGTAACTGCTTCTTTTGGAGATGAACCATAATCCTGCCATATTTTTAGCAATCGCTCCCACTCAAATCCCATATGTCCACTGCAAACAGATCCTACAAGAAGAAAACTACTGAGATGGACAAACCGCTTCAACATCATTGAAGGAATTGCTCAAGGGGTACTTTACCTCCACAAATATTCGAGACTGAGAGTTATTCATAGAGATTTGAAAGCCAGCAACATCTTATTAGATGACAATATGAACCCAAAAATATCAGATTTTGGCTTGGCAAGAATATTTGGGGTTAGTGAATCAGAAGCAAACACAAACAGAATCGTGGGCACACAGTAAGCAAAAATAAATTAAAAATGTTCATCATCTGAATATCCACACAAGTTTTAACACTATACTTCTTTTTAATCTTCAGTGGTTACATGTCTCCGGAGTATATCCTTCAAGGCGTTGTTTCAATGAAAATTGATGTATTCAGCTTTGGAGTTTTATTGTTAGAGATTGTGAGCAGCAAGAAGAACAATAGATGCTATCATTCAGATTATCCACTCAACCTCGTAGGATATGTAAGTTTGTCACTGAAATTCAATCTTTGTCTGTCAGTTTGTCATCAGGAAGCATTGATTCACATAAGGTAGCTAACATTGCAAACTATGAAACTTTCGTGTATCAGGCATGGGAACTGTGGCAAGAAGGTAAAGTCTTAGAGATAATGGACCTAACATTAGATGAATCTTGCGATCATAATGAAGTAATGAGGTGCATACATGTGGGTCTCTTGTGCGTACAAGACAATGCAATGGACAGACCCTCCATGTCAGATGTTGTTTCCATGCTTACAAATGAAACAATGACTTTACCTGCACCAAAGAAACCCGCATTCTTCATACAAATGAGTGCACCAAAGGTGGAGGAGACATGTGAGAAGTTGGAAAACCAGTCCAACAATGGGCTATCGATTTCAGAGCTTGAAGGCAGATAAAGGTATAATTTATGCATTGGTATATTCAAAAACATATTACCCAAAATTTGATGATTTATGGGACTTTGTCTACAAAATAATTGGTTTTTTTTTTGGTCAATACAAAAATAATTGGCTTGAGTTGGGCCTTGTTAATACTCTCAACTCTTCATGACAGGCCTCAAATGTAATTGTATCAGATGATGCAAATTCAATGTAGGCATTAATTTACATTATTATATCAGAATTGTGAAGTTTTTGCAAATGATGAATTGAAAACGACCAGATTTGAAGAAAATAGACAACAAGAATCCTAATTGAAAGACGAAATAACAGCATAGATGATTAAAGATAGTAAAAAGAATCAGATGCTTTATTAACTCTAAAGTGAGATCTCTGTCTCTGTCTCTCTGTATCGAGCCGTGACCATCGTCAGTGATGTGTCAACACCATGACATCCATAGGGTGGCTCTTAGAAATGGGTTCACCCATTGGCGAAGCTTGATGGTGCCTACATGTGGTTGAATTTCGATGGGTGTGGCTGAATTGGTCTCTTGATTAAGTGGGTTTTTCTTTGATTAGAAGGTGGCGCCACCGCCACGGATCAGGAGAGAAGAGAGAGCTAAAAGGGATTAAGGGGGTTAGAGGGTGGACAGTGAACCACCACAATGGCAAGAAACCTGTCTGTGGACTGGACGCAGAGACAGAGAGGGAAGGAGAGAAAGAACAGGGATGATGTACTTTGAGTTTTATTTGCTCGAGTCTTCGCGTGTCCCTGAGTGAGAGAGAGAGGAGATGGTGGCTTCGTAGAGTTGAGCTACTTCTATTTTTGGATGCATAAAAAAGAATCAAGTCTCGGTTATTGTGGTTTTGGCGGAGATTTGGGCGGAGTTGCAGGGTGGTGGTAGAAGTAGAGGCATTGGGCGGTGGAGGTGTGCCACGGAGCAGGAGTAGGGGGTGATAATTGGGTTGTCTGGATTAAGACATCGTAGTTCGTGTCAAATATTAGTTAATCACGACCTAATTCATTTAATAAATTACGTTATGTCAAGTTGATTTGTTTATTTTTATATCGTGTTTGTATTCGTGTTGATCTATATAAATTTTGAATAAAAAATTTAACTTTAAAATTCGATTTTCACTTAATTAAATTTAGGTTTATATTTTTTTTATAAATTAAAAATTAACTTAATAATAATAAGTAAAAATATTTTTTTATACAATAATTATTTTAATGCTTAATAAATAGTTACAAATAATTAATATTTTATTTCTACAAATAGTTAATAAACATGTTAATCGACTAGTGATAATTTGTTTTTGAAGGTACGATAAAACATAAAATTTGTGCCCCAAAAAATTGATCTCACATCGTTAAATAATAATTTTTTTTCCTTCATTTCTTTTATTACATTATTCAAAATTTATTTTTACCTATTATTCTTTTAAAAATATTAACAAAATTTTCTCAAAAATACGTAATTTGATAAAATTTTATTCACACACACATATATATATATACTATCGTGTATGAACAATATTTAAAATAAAAAATTATGTTAAATTACAAATTAATCAAATATTAAGTAATTGAACTACTTGTCTTGTAAAAATTTTGTCTTCTTGAGGTCAAAAATTCAGGTCCCCTCTTTCTCCTCCCTTCTCCCCCCCCCTCTCAAATAAAAGTAATTGAACATGTAATAGAAATGAATTGTTTTGGAGGAAAAATGTAAAGAGAATAAAGTTCAACTTCCTATATGTTTTATTATATAAATGTTAATTGTGTTATATACAAAAAAGAAAATAGAGGAAATGCCCATTATGAACTAAGTCCTTCAAAATTATTGTGATTTTAAAACTGTTAGACTTAAAATAAATTTTTTTTACGCTACAAAGGAAGAATAGTTATCATATTCTTGAATTGAGACCATATATATATATATATATATATATTTGTACTATATCTAAACAGGTTGAGCATGCCGTTTTTGGATAAAAAATTATTAGGTCATGTTCGTGTCGTTAACAGGTCATTATCGGATTTGTGTCGACACAATTAAATAAACGGGTTGATCGTGTCAATTTCAAGTTTGGTAGGTTGAACCGGAACATGATCCATTTTTATTTCATATTTATGTGTTAGGTCATTTTTAAGTTCGTGTCATTAAATTCGAGTCATCGTGAGTCAAAAATTATCACCCAAAAATTATCACCCAAGCAGAAGGCTTTTTGGATCTTCTGATAAGTAAATATTTAAGAATTCAGGGGTAAATTTGTAAAGTGACAATTTTCGTGAATACCGTCTTTGGCAAGCACTGACAGAAGATGTCAAACTCTCGAGGGTATGGAAGATTTGGAAATTAGTTTGACAAATAAGGTTTTTAGCTATTGAGTTTGACAAATAAATTGGAAAACTAGAAAGAAAGTTTATTTTGTTTTGCCGGGAAGTGGAAAGTTAAGAAAGTTGATGGTACAAACTAAGCCCAGTTCTTAGATTGATTTCAAATTATCGTAAGGCAAGTCAAGTTTAGTTTATGGTTTCAATCTAATTCAAATCTCAACAATTTAAGAGGAGTCAACACACGTGAGAGTGTAATTATTGGAATAGTCATTTTTTCAGGATAATATTTGATGATGTGCTTAGCACGATAGAGCAGAGATGAGAGATTAATGAGTCACGGAGTAACTCAATCTGAGTTTCTAGACTCATAAGATCTGGATCAAAGATATGAGATTAACGCACAGAGAGTTTATAGTGGTTTACCAACTCAGGATCGCGACTAATTTACTATATTGTCTACTAATTAATGCAATTCATACTTATGTTTATTTAACTCAAGGGTACAATTGACATTGACTTCCCTAATCTGCGTATGGCTTGATCGGAACCCACCTACCATGGGTTTGATGAAACCCACATTCAAGGGTTTAAGATGTTAGGCCAGCTACGGGCCGAGACTGTTGTCCATGCCTTCTAAAAGTCATCCAAACAAGGGTTTTGGGAGTCCATTTAACTATTTTTCCTAAATTCATCTTGTCATGCCCTCATACTCACTTACCAAACAATCCCCTAATACTTATCTTAGTATAAGTTTCGTAACAAGAAAATTTTACTTTCCGAAAACATAAAAACAAGTAAACTTGAATTGCAAAGAGTAATGATTAGCCTCCCAGCACAGAGTTGATGTTTTTTCAGTCCAAAGTTGCATTTTACCCAAAAATCTCTCAACCAAAAGTTTACAGTCCCCTTCAGTTTTACAATAATTAGGAGCAACACTTTGAATTTTGTCATTTCAGATTCATATTAAATATTAATCAATTTTAACACAACTTGATTATTTAATTTTATCATATAAAACAAAAACAAATTTAACCTTTTTTACGTACAAGTCATATTCAAGTTAGATT